TAATTTCTAGAAAAAATAAAATTTTGAAAATTGGTCCAAACATTGACTTGAAAAAGATAAAAAGTGCAAGAGCTTAACAGTCCAACTAGAAGTGTCAATTTGGCTTGTCGAAATGGGCTACTGGTGACTTGGCCTAAAAAATGCCTGAGTCGACCCAACTCGAGGCTTCGCCCGAACCTTGTTTTGGGGTGTCGATTAGAGCCTAAGCGGACTACCACCCGAGTCGACCTGTGTCATTGGCCACTTTCGGCCCGCGACGAGCCGACCCATTAAAAAAAAGCTACAAGTAGCTATGTTTTATACACACACACACACACACTCACACACAAAGAACATGAGCTAGCTTGGCTCGATAGGCCCGAATCGAAAGCTCGAGCAGAGCTTAAAATTTTTGGCCGAACAAAAGTTCTGCTTGGTTGGGACAAAAAAATTCGAATCATTTTTACTTGAGTCAACCTCAAGTTTTGGCTCGCAAGTTAGTTCCACTCGACTTGTTGACATCCTTAGGTCCAACCAAGATCAAACCACTATTAAAAAAAGAAAAAAAGAAAATTTGAGGTAAAGTTGCATGCAAATTTGGTTCTTGACTTGCCTTAAACAATTTGGATGGCGGAAATTACACCCAACATACCCCCTTTTAATTACGTATTCACATTTTACTAATTCAATATTTTAAATCCTAATTATACCGCAATATAATAGTAAAATTGAAAAGGGTAAATTATCTTCACTCCTAAATGATAGTCAAAGTCAATCAATTTTAATAAATCTAATCAACAGCATTTCTCACCCAAACAAGACAATCTTTTCACCAAAACTGCTCACATAATCAATCCTACCATCAATGCTCCAAAAATTCCCTATTTTTTGCTCATTCAAAATTTTCATTCAATCACAAGAAATCGTCTTTGTTTGCTGGTATACTTGTACATGAGTTTAAATCAATAGATTTTACATTTATCGATAAAAAAAATAAAAATAAATAATCATCTTAATCATATCTCAAATCCTGTATGCTTAATTTGATTTTCATTTATACGCTATCTACATATCTGGATTTTAGGGGCTAGAATATACTATAAAACCCATACTGAAGTGGGTACAACCCAGAATTTATCTTCCTTTTAATTAATTCCATTGGCATTAAACCATCATGTCTACCCTTAATCGTCGTGCATTCATGGGTTCAAATTAGTGCCGGTCCTGTAATTTTTGGAGCCTGAGGCGAACTTTCTAAATTAGGCCCCAAAAATTATAGTATGAGTACAAATTTTATCAGTGTCTTATGAAATCAATTATTAAACAATAAGCAAAATGTATTATACAAAATACTTTTATTATAATCAAATAAAAAATTTGACAATGTCCCAAATGATTGTTTAAATACTAAACAATCGACGTTCTACCATTTCTTGTCGAAAGGATGAAAAGGTTGACGAATTTCTGTATATATTTACTGATGGCATTAAGAACACACACACACACACACACACACACACACACACACACACACACACACACACACACACACACACACACACACACACACACACACACACACACACACACACACACACACACCACACACAAGACAGTAGTCTATTTAAGTAGTTTACATATTTACGTGTCTAAATAAATGGCAGTGAATGGGGAAGCAATTCATGGCTGACTGTCCAATTTAGTGGAGTATTCCTGATTTCATGCAACCATTGATTCAATATTCCTTAACACTAATGTATGTTTATAATTCCTAACTTGTTGAGTAGAGTCAAGAATTGCGAAGAGCTCAATGGCTTTGTAAAAATGTCCGCTGGCTGGTCTGATGTGTGCACATGAGTCATCTTGATCACTCTTTCTTGAACTTTTTCTCGTATGAGGTGACAATCAATTTCTATATGCTTTGTTTGTTCATGGTACATTGGGTTTGAAGCAATATGGAGTGCTGCCTTGTTATCACAATATAGATTAACAGAATGTGGATGTTTGATGCCCAAATCTTGTAGATTGTTTTTAACCAAGTAATTTCACAACAAGTTGCTGCCATTGATCGTTATTCTGCCTCTGTACTGGACCGTGATACTGTTGTTTACTTCTTGGTTTTCCAGGAAATTAGTAAACTGCCTAGAAGGATACAATACCCTGTAACTGATCGTCGAGTGTCAGGGCACCTAGCCCAATCTGCATCACAAAAGGCATTCAGTTGGATTAAACTTTCTGTAGGAAAAAATATTCCTTGTCCTGGCGTTTGTTTCACATATCGCAAGACACGATGGGCTGCTTCTAGATGTGGTACTCGTGGCTTGTCCATAAATTGACTTAGAACATGGACTGCATACGTTAAGTCAGGTCGTGTGACGATCAAATAAATTAACCGCCCAACAAGTCTTATGTATGAAGATGGATCACAAATGTAGTCGCCTTCAGACTTACTAAGAGTTAAGTTTTGTTCCATGAGAAAGGAAATTGGTTTTACGCCAAGGTATCCAACATCTTCTAGAATCTCGAGAGCATATTTTCGTTGTGAAACGGTAATACCTTTGTTAGACCGCGCAACCTCAATTCCTAGACAGTACTTCAAATGTCCAAGATCCTTGAGTTTGAATTGATTCTCCAATAACATCTTGGTGTCTTCAATATCTTGAAGATTGTTTTCTGCTAAAATGATGTCATCAACTTAAATGATAAGAGCGGTGAATTTACCATTCTAGGATCGGACGAACAATGAATAATCTGCCTTTGATTGCTTGTAATTAGCTTCCTTCAAAGAAGTAGAAAGTTTAATGAACCATTGACGTGAAGATTGTTTGAGGCCATATAATGATTTGTGAAGTTTGCAAACTCGTGTCTCCCTCTTTTGTCCAAATCCAGCAGGTAAAGACATGTAAACATCTTCATCAAGGTCTCTATGTAAAAAGGCATTATTGACGTCGAGCTGATGAAGATGCCAATGTTGGGTTGAAGCCACGGCAAGGAGAAGACGAACTGTTACAAGCTTTGCAACAGGAGCAAAGGTCTCCTGATAGTCTAGACTTTCAACTTGGTTGTATTCCTTCGCTACCAATCTGGCTTTGTAGCGATCAACAGTACCACCGGGTTTGAGTTTGATCTTGTATACCCATTTGGATCCAATTGGCCTTTTTCCTGGAGGTAACGACTGAAGAGACCATGTGCTATTATTTTTGAGAGCATCAAGTTCCTGGCGCATTGCAAGATGCCATTTCGGATCACAAACTGCTTGAGCAAATGATGATGGTTCTTTATTGACTGAAAGGAAAATGGTGAAGGCACGATGTTCGGGAGATAACCACTCGTAGGAAAGAACATTAGATAGGGGGTAGTTGATACCTGTAGCTTCAACCAAGTTCGAGTTAGGTGCTGGGACAGTTCTTGAAGGAAGAGAAATACCAACATGATACTCACGGAGATAGCCAGGTGTTGTTGTAGAACGTGTTGGCCGCGATAGAGGGATTTGTGGATTTGAAGAAGAGGGTGGACTAGGCTGATCATTGAATGAAGAGGTTGTAGGTGAAGAAGTGACTGGAGGGGAGGCTTCGCTAGGAGAAGAAGGTTCTTCTTGAGAGAGATGGTTTGGTGCGGCCACTTCAGTATTTGCAGGTAAATGTGGGATAAGGTTGTTATCATCATGTGGTAATAAGTGAAGCATTGGTGAAGGAAAAATATCTTCGTGGAAAATGACATCACGTGAAACAAAGGTTCTACCAGTTGAGAGGTCATAAACCTTGTATCTTTTTTGTGCATATGGATAACCCAAGAAAAGACATCGGGTGGCTCTAGCATCAAATAGATGAGGGTGATGTGTGGAGGCAAAACACAAGCAACCAAACACTCGCAAATGATCATATGTGGGTTGTTTGTGAAAAAGCATTTCGAAAGGTGTTTTTCCTTGAAGTAGGGGTGTGGGAGTTCGGTTAATAAGGTAGGCAGCAATCAAGATGGCATCTCCCCAAAATTTCTTAGGTAGATTGGCGTGGAATAACAAGGCTCGGGCTATGTTGAGGAGGTGTCGGTGTTTTCTTTCGGCAATTCCATTTTGTTGTGGAGTGGAAACACAACTAGTTTGACGAATTATACCTTTGTCTAAATAGAATTTTTTTCATTGTAAATTCAGGTCCATTATCAGTGCGAAGAGTCTTAACTTTCAAGGAAAATTGTGTTTTGACAAGGTTAATGAATGTGGTGATATATGTCGAAGCTTCTGACTTATGATGCATCAAATAAATCCATGTGCAACGAGTATAATCATCAACAATTGTAAGAAAATACCATGCCCCGATAATGGAAGGGACATGATATCCTCCCCATATGTCAACATGAATTAATTCAAAAGGTACTTCAGTACGAATGCAACTTAATGGGAATGGAGATCGAGTTTGTTTAGCTAATGGACAAATAAAACAATCAAAAGTGCTACAAAATTTGATGTTTGTAATTAAATGGGAGAGTAAATGAAAGGCCTTGTTTGATAGATGACCAAGGCGCTGATGACAAAGTCTCGAAGAACAAGGAGTTGATGAGGTAACTGCATTGCATTTGGCTCTTTGAGGAGTGTTAAGGTAGTAGAGTCCTCTTCGTTCAATTCCCGTCCCAATCATCTTCCCTGATTGTTGGTCCTATAGTATACAAGTACCATTAGAGAATATGGCAAGGTAATGGGAATTATGAATGAGCTTACTAATGGAAATCAGGTTCAACTTAAAAGAAGGAACACATAGCACATCATGCAAGATGAAATTAGCAAAATGAATGCTGCCTCTGTGTGTGACTGCAGTAGTGGTTCCATTAGGCAGATGCACAGTTCGATTCGTGACACGACAATTTGTAGTCAATAAATCAGTAGAGTAAACCACGTGGTTTGTGGCTCCTGTGTCAAGTATCCAGCATATTTCTTTCTCATTAACGGAAGCACAAAAAATTGTACCTGAGAGGTCGCTTATGGCAGATGTATTACCAACGTGATTAGCCATTGAATTAGGCTTTTTCTAGGTAAGTAATGACATAAGATTCTGATATTGTTCTGCTGTGATGGCGAGTGGCATATTGGCATCTGCATGATTGACTTTATGGGAAGGGTTCCTGCGCTCTCGCTGAGTATGTTTGTTACCTGCAAAGTTTGTCCTCTGTAACTTTCGACATACATCAATGGTGTGTCCTTGCCAGCCACAATAATCACATTTGAGCTGTGCTCGACATGCCTCTGAGTTGTGTCCAATTTTATCACAGATTCCACACTTTTGATGAGGAGTTTTGGGTGTGAAAGTCTTCTCAAAATTTCGTGAGTTGTTCTTCACAGCAAAGGCTGAAGCTTCGGCTATCATTGTACCTCCCTTCGACATTCCTCGCTGTTTTTCATCCTGGAGAATAAGGGAATATGCCTTGTTGACAGTATGAAGCGGATCCATGAGCAAAATCTGAGCACGAACGGCAACATAAACTTCATTAAGTGCCATGAGGGATTTCATGGTCATTTGATTTTGTTGGAACTGTAGAACCTCTTTCATGGCGCCACAAGTGCATGTTGGGATACAACATAGTGCATCACGTTCATCCCATAGATCTTTGAGCTTGGTGTAATAAGCTCCAATAGTCAGGTTGTCCTGTTTGCAATTATAGATGGCCTCTTCAATATGAAACAGGTGAACACTATCAGTTTGTGAAAATCGATCCTTTAAATCATTCCAGATTTCATGAGCATTTTGATAGTATATTATACTTGCTCTAATATCCTGTGAGATTGAATTTAAAAGCCATGCTTTTACGAGGTTGTTGCAGCGCCTCCATTGTTGGAGTTCTAAGGTTGTGGTTTCCGACGGCTGTTTGATAGTGCCATCAACGAAGCCTTCTTTGTTTTTGATGCTGAGAGCCATCAGCATGGTACGACTCCACGTGCTATAGTTTTCTTCAATAAGCGGTTGCGTGACAAGCACAAGACCAGGTTGATCAGAATGATGGAGATAATAGGGATTATTTGTATCATCAAAATTGTCGGTTGCTGGCTTGGCTGGGTTTTGGTTTTCATCTTTCCCTGCCATGAGTAATTTCTTGTATGTGAAGAAGAAAAGGAAGGGAAAAGGTTCAGGTCGTGACTCTCTGATACCATGAAAGGGTTGATGAATTTCTGTATATATTTACTGATGGCATTAAGAACATATATATATATATATATATATACACACACACACACACACACACACACACAAGGCAGTAGTCTATTTAAGTAGTTTACATATTTACGTGTCTAAATAAATGGCAGTGAATGGAGAAGCAATTCATGGTTGACTGTCCAATTTAGTGGAGTATTCTTGATTTCATGCAACCATTGATTCAATATTCCTTAACAATTTCAATATTAATTTTGAATTTTGAATTTAACCTTCAAAACACAAAGAAATTAGAGAAATAACATTTAATTCCCAATCAAATAAGTGGTATCTAATAATCAAAGAAAAATTATGATTCACTTGAAGCATTAGATAAATTCAATTCTCCATACAAACATGACATAAGAGGTGGTAGGCATCTGAAAATTCTTAAGAATTTCTACTTCAATAATACAGAAACCCCACAAATATAGCAAAACATCTATCAATCTACAAAGCTACATAATGTTTATTTTCAAAAGTTGCATTATAATCATATATTAATTATAATTATAACTTAATATCATATATTAATTAGGAAAAAAGACAAAAATAAAATATATATTTAACTCTTTCGTCTTATAATATCCGATGGAAAGTAAAACAACACGATTATTAGCACAGTTCTTTTTAAAGAGAACCCAATAATTCAAGAAAAAGACTTGTTGATTTGTTAATTTTTCAACCCAATAGTCTCAAGAAAGGTGCCTATCTTTTTTATGAATGATGAGTATAAAAGTAAACTAGAATCAATTTAAAGCACATATAAGAAATTAAAATAGAATTACAAACCTAAGAGGATGATAAACTTGAAGCAGCAAGCTTGTTTCTGTAGATTGGAGAATATCACTCACAAATTGAAAAAGAATTAATAGGATTTTCTATTAGATATAACTTAAAATTAACTATAAATTAATTGTAGATTCTCTCTCGCACGCATGCACAAGACCAAATGGGAAGTAAGAAATTGGCCTTAAATCTAGTTTTTTTATCCTTTAGGAAAAAAAATTAAAATAAATAAAATAAAATCTGAGACCCCTCTCTTAATTGGGCCTGAGGCAGAGGCCTCGTTTACCTCTGCCCAGGACCGCCCATGGTTCGAATGAATAGGCAATGACGAAGACAATGTGTTTGATCCTGGCAGCGTGAGGAGGTCGAGGAAGGAAAGGGCTTCGGATATAAATTAGAAGTCTGGAAACAATGTGGTTGGTCCCTTTTTGTTTTATTTTCTTCTTTTTCCAAACATTTGTGTCGAAGCA